GTGACACTGGGTGTTGTAGAATGGTGAGTCTCTGGGGTTAGGGTGAGTTCCAGGTCCAAAGGCTTAAACGTGACACTGGGTGTTGTTGTAGAATGGTGAGTCTCTGGGGTTAGGGTGAGTTCCAGGTCTGAAGGCTGAAATGTGACACTGGGTGTTGTCATATGCTCAGTTTGAGCCTGAGCTACTGTTGGAATTACCTCCTGAATTACTGCAGCTTGGGCTATAACCTCTTTAGGTTTTTCTGTAAGATGAGTTGTCTCCTGAATAGTCTGTGAAAGCTCTTCATTTGTAGTGGGTTGTAGTATTACCGTAAGTTCCAGATCCAAAGGTTGAACTATGCCTTTAGTTTCACTTGCCTGGATGTGAAATTGTCACCCGAGTACGTGTCCGAAGAGGTTCACCTTCAGTAATTGAGTCTGGAGGTTTAGCTGTGATATTGTGTGTTACTGGAGGCTGAATTTGATCAAGGGGAGAAACTGTTACCTCATGCTGTTCTGGAGGTTGAGCTACTACTACATTAGGGAACTCTGGAGGCTGAGCTGGGGCCTCCTGCTGGGCTGGAGAATGTTCAATATCCTCAAGGATCTGTGAATTCTCTGTGGCTTCCTGCTGGCTCAGGGAAGGTTTCTCATAGGAAATAGGTGTTGGAGATTGAGCTGGAGTCTCCTGTTGAACTGCCAAGGGTCCAACCTCTTCAGGAGGCTCTGGAGTTAGAGTTGGGTTGTCATGTTGGGTTTTAAAAGGTTCTATGTCATTAATTGGAACTGTAATTGGGCTACCTGTAGCCTCATGGTGTACTGGAAAAGTTTGTACCTTTGCTGTGGGTTCTGGTGTTATGGTTAACTGCATATCTGGAGGTCTAAGAGTCATACTGGACACGTCTGAAGGCCGAGCTTGATGGTGACCTGCATGGGAAATTGTTATTTCATGATGTTCTGGAGATTGAACTAATTGTTCCTGCTGGTTTAGAGCATACTCTGAGGCTTGAGTTGGGATTTCCAGCTGGCTTCCAGGAGGCTGATTCTCCCCAGGAGACTCAGAAGCTTGAGCTGGCATCTCCTGCTCACTGAAAAAAAGATTCCACCTCTTCAGGATACTCCAGAGGATGCTCTGGGGACTCATGTTGAGTCAGAGAGGATTCAACCTCCTTTGTAGGCTCTGGAGATATGGTAAGCACTACATCCACAGGCCTAACTGTAGTATTTGGCAAGTTATAATGAATTTCATTCTGACTTGTAGGCAGAGCTGGAACTTCCAGCTGACTTCCAGTTTCAAGGTCTTCAAGGAGCTCTAAAATATGATCTGGGGATTCTTGTTGGACTGATGAAGCTTCTGACTCCTCAGAGAGCTCTGGAGTTGGAGCTGGGGGCTCTTGTTCAGTTGATGATGGTTCTAGCTCCTCAGAGAGCTCTGGAGTTGGAGCTGGAGCCTCTATTTGAGTTGACGAGGATGCTATGTCCTCAGGACTCTCTGAAAGCTGAGCTGGAGCTTCTAATTTGGTTAATGAAGGCCCTAGGTCTTCAGGACTCTCTGGAAGCTGGGCTGGGGCCTGCTGCTGGCTCAGAGTAGGTTGGGTCTCCTTCTCTGCCTCTGAAATTACTGTGACCTCCAGATCCACAGGCTTCACTGTGACATTTGGTAAGCTTGAGTGCTGAGCTTCCTTTCTATTTGGAGATGGACTATTTATCTCAGCATGCCCTAATGCAGCCTCCTCGGAAGCAAGTTGATGCTGATTTGGGCCTTCTTTCTCCACTGAAGGTTTATCTTCAGAGGGCACTAGGAGCTCTTCTGCGACTTCTTCTTGGGGTGAAGAGGATTGGCCCACCTCAGGATTCTCTGGATTCTGAGTTTGGGTCTCCTGCTGGAATTCAGAAGGCTCAATCTGGTCAGGTGGCTCACCTGTGATTTTCTGAGATTGTAGAGGTTCATCGTAAGAATAAGCTTCATTTATACTTGGATCTCCACAATCCTCCTCCTCAGTTTGTCTCTGTAGTTGAGATTGATTTGGAGTTTCATCAATCAACTTAGCAAGTCGCCTGTGCTGAGCTAGAGGTTTTTTCAAATTTGGGGGCAAAGGTATGAACGTCACTGCTTTTGAATTCTGTCTGTCTAGTTGTGGAACAAGTATTTTATATAACTGGTGATCTGCAGCCTGATCTACCAGGGAAATACTTTTGAATTGTGGAGGCAAAAGGGGAGCCTTATTTTGACCCTCATTTAGTTTTAGAATGTTCTCTGGCAGCTTCCCAGGAGTCCACTTGCTGTCCAGATCCTGCTGTGAAACAGTGAACTGATGTGGCTTTGGGGGCCACTCCTCAGAGGTATCCGTATCCTGGAATGGAAGAAAACTGTTCTCCAACTCCTGAGGTGGGGACATTTGGGAAGAAGCAGAGGATGCCGGGTAATCAAAGTCCGTTGCATCTGCCTGGGATGTCAGAGCATGCGGGGATTTGATTGGATGATCAGAGGGGTGCCAAGACCAAAGCTTAGTCGGCACCCAGGACTCTGAGATTAATTGGAGTGGGTTACTTACCCACTCCTTAAAGTGATCCGCCTGGGTTACCACCAACAAAAGTTGCCCCGTGAGGAGAAGTTCTGGGGCACAGAAGTGGAAGCCCAGTGGAGTCACGACACGTGGTAAGGACATGGCGTGCAGTGTGGGGACGATCCACACTGCTGCAGTGCTGGCTAGCGATAAACTAAATGAAAGACCCTGGGCTCAGGAGCCTTGGCAAGTGCAGCTGTCCTGCCCCGCCTGCCCCTTATGACAGGATACCTTTGTTACAAAAGCACCACTAGGCTGGATTCTGTCTGCCTTTAAAAAAACCCCCTTTTTGTCAACTACACCCCTATCTTTTCATATTGAACTATCTCAGCTAAACTAACCTAGCCTGTTACTATGTTTTGCCCAAAGCAGCCATTTTAGAACTGCCTTTGACCCTACATATGAAAGATACCTAGAAGGGAGAAGCAACTTTGAATTCTGAGAAAGGGCCCGACCGCATGCCACAGGATATTGTAATCTAGGCTGCTTATGCTTATCTAAACCTGCTTCGCTTACCCAAGCCCATGTCCGCACAATGACCGATAGTTGACTGGTAAATTCAAAGTTTTCTATGTTCAAATTCTGCTTTGTATAAACCTGACTGGCCCACTTGTTCTGCTTTCTGTATTCCTATAAATATTCTGGCCGACTGGTGTTCGAGGCTGCTTCTATTCCTTGCTTTCACTTAAGTGGTGTTGGTGATTTTTATTTGGAATCCAGCATATAACAGTATCAGTTAAGTGGTATATTTCCCTGAGGAACAAAGGGCCAGCCATTACTCTACTGATCCAAAGATTCTAAATTTTGCTTCAAAAGTAGAAGCTGCGTTAATATATAAAGGATTTCTGTGTAGTTGTTTCCTTGTAGTGATGTTGATGCAGGAGATGGGGAGAAAGCCAGGGTTCTTGAGTGTGACAGAGCCCTTCTCACCTCAGGTGAACAATAAATGGGTGTTTGGGGGTAGGGGGAAGAACAGGTTAGGTCCCAGACAGCCAATGGCCACCAAATCCACCTCAGCCCAGTAGCTTCCAGACCCTTGTCTAGTGAAGTCAAAGAATAAATTTCACAGACAATGTGTGGAGAGCCACAGCCTCCGCCGCCATTACAAGATGGCGCCGGTATCCGGACCTTCTTAACAGTAAACATTCCTGCCACACCCATAAGGGGCGTGCACAAGAGCCTGCTTCTCCTCCCCTCCTCCCGTGGCATGATCTCCAGCAACCAATCCACTTCTTATACATCATAAATGGGACCTTTGGGGCATATATAAGCAACAGCTCTCCCACTTCTCGGCGTCTTTGGTCTTCAGTCTTCAAATAAACTGCTGCAGAAGGATCCTGA